TTAAAGGAATCTATTTTAGCCTATTGTGGGCCCCCTAATTTTCTATAAAAATTCCTTTGGTACGATTGCGTAGTATAATAAACTATAATTTCTGGCCGAGTTCAAAAATCATAAGCTTATGATAAGTACAAATATTTGATCATTTGTATGCGTAGCGTCGGAGCAGAAATTTATCCGTTTTTTGGCTATTGTACGCTCTTTTTAAAAGAAAAATAATAATTTACGGATAAAGAACACTTTATTCACGTTAAAATATTGAAAAAGAAAAGAATAAAATTAAACAAAATAATTTCTGGACGAATTTGAAAATTATATTTTAATATTTAGGGGAGATATAGGGTCATTTAAATGCGTAGCATCGGAACCGAAATTTATCCGCTTCTTAGCTATTATTCGCTCTTTTCAAAAGAAAAAGAAAAATTTTTTGGTAAAGAACACTTTATTCACGTTAAAATATTGGAAAAGAAATTTTAGAAAAATATGAAATAAAAACTTTAAAATTATTTCTTTTAATTAAATATTAAACGCTGTTTAAAAATTACGAATAATTTTTTGGTAAAGGAAACTTTATTCACGTTAAAGTAATGAAGTCCCGCAGTAGACTGATCGTTAAAACACGCTTCCCAGCAGATCACCGAAGTCAAGCATCACTGGCTGCGGTCAGTGTGCGCGTGGACCACTTGGATCAGTCTGCGTAGGGACCGAGCGTGTGCGGTATTGGTCCTCGTTAAACTGTGCTACCGTAAAGTGCTCGACTTCGCGCGCAGGTCGTCGGGCTACCGAAGCGGAGGTGCCATCCCCTCCTCAGAGGATCGAAATTGTGATGGCATGTCTTCGGATCATCCTCCGGGATGTTTCCCAGACCGTCACCAATAGCTCATTGTGCAGCTCTAGTGTGATGTAAATTAACAACAACACATGTTTGTTTGTTTTTTTTTTTTTAATTCTGATATTTTTCATTTGATATTATTACAACTTTTGAAATTTAAATGCGCATTTAAATAATCACTTATTGACATGCTTAATTTACACCAATAGTATCATAAATTCATTAGGTACTTTGATTGTTTTTTTGGTAGCTATTGCTATTGATTTTCACATGGTTTTTAAAGTTGCTATTTGTGTCTTGTTGAGGAAAAATTTGAATCTTGTGTTAGAGTATTCGAATCTTTTAGAGGAAAAATTCGAATCTTGTCTTGTAGAGAGTACTTTTTAACTCAAAAAATCTATTGTTTTTTTTTAATCAATTTTTTGACGGTTATTGTTATTGTCTTAGTTTTTAAGTCCGCATAGTTTTTTAAAATCTGACATTTTGTATACAATATTATTCTTTACAACAAGGAAATCTTGAAATACGCATTTGAGTAACCCCTCTTTGAACTGTTCAATTTGCATGATTTTATTGTAAATCCATGTGATTTTGTTGGTGTTTTTTTCATCTGTTACTGCCATGAATTTTCGAATTTTATTTTTTATTTTTCATTTGATAATGAATTATGAAATGCTGATAAGAGAACAATTAGTGTTTTTCACCCTTTCAAAACGCGAGAATATTGCCCATAATGTTCTTTTTTATGTTCAGGAAAAAGATTATTGGAACGATAATAAAAGATTATATGCAGCGTTATTCTATAGGTGGAATAATTGTTTTATGAACACAAAGTACCTCTGTTATTATAAAATAGTAGGCTATATTTATTACTATTAAAAATATCATAAAGAAAAATGTGAGTGCTATAGAGGTTTGTTGCAGAAAGCCATATGAAATTCTGCCTTAGGGGTCATAATTAGTCCTTAGTCATTCATAATTCTATCTAACATGCTCTTATTTTTTATTATTTGTTTTTTAGTTCAGTGGGGTATTTAACTTCCATTTCCTTACTTGATAATTCACTATAAAATGATTTTCTCTTATTTTTTCTGTCTGTAACGACTCTTGCTGTTCCATATTCCCCAAGAAATTATAATTGTGTTATTATTATTTGATTTGTAATTTTTGCATTATAAATATTTACTTCATACAGTTTTTTTAGTTTTACTTTTTTGTCAGAGAGTAAGTTTGACAAGTTCTTCCATTATAAAATTAATTTTTATTTAGATAGTTTTTCTAAAAAATTTTGTGTTTTGAAATATATTGATGCAATGTATAGAAAATGTTCAGATTACAATAATGCAAACAGTATTTTGGAAAACTTTTTTCTTTCACCTGTCTGTAACATATCTAGAAAATTTTATTTGTTATTTCTATTTACACATTTAGGAACAATGAGGTCAAAACTTTCTAAAATTATATTAATTTCATTGAAGCGAAATTCATGATAACTATATCGGGGAATATCTAATTATTTTGATATTAATTGGAAATTTATTGAAAAATATTTGCTTTTTTATCGTGTATAATTTAGGTGGCATATTTTTTGCTGGGGAGCTTTATTCTTTTAATAAACTTGTTACCTAACAAAGTTTCAAGTAATGCTATAAATTCATCTAGTTGTCAACAATTGTATTATTAAAAAAAAATCAATTAATCATGGCACTGACATAGCATACACTCCAACACATCATAAAAAAATTTTTAAAAAAGGGGGGGAACAAACTGCTGGAAGGAAGTGTGTGGCAGACATTGGTCGACTGCTGTTGTTAATTAAGTAATTGATATGGTTGAAATCAAAATTAAAATACACAGTGAACTTTCATTTATAAAAGTCATGATAAACAGAGAAATAAAAAATTTTATGTAATTGATTGATTTAGTAGTGTAAATGATAAAAATATTTTGTTATCACCAAATATATAAATATTACTAAAACTAAAAAAATAATTTATGCTTTTAAAGTTGTTGCCATTTCTTTAAATGTATTTAAATCTTATGTATATTAAGTCTGAAATTAAATATAAGTTATCATAATGATATTTAAAACTTACATCGAAAAACAAATTTAAAAAAACTCACATCAAAACTTACAAATTAATACAACAATTCTAAGTTATAGTTTTTTTAAAGTTATTTTTAAAAATTTACCATTTTTAACCACCAACTTTCTAAGATCGCTTCAATATTATTTAAGTTCTTATTTAATTTTTGTTTACTACAAAAACCCGGAGAATAGCTTTTGCCTAAGATATTATTTAGTATAGTGCAAAATTGGAATTCTCAATATTCTTTGGAGAATTTTCAACAGTTATTTTATATTCGTTATTTCAATAGTTGTTTCATAATCACATGTATTGACTGAACCAGTTTAATATATTATTTATTATTAGATTAAAAATAACTTCTTAAAAAACTAAATTTACTGTTTAAGAATTGCAAAACTGTAACTAAATCTGTGCAATAAGGTTAATATCATTTGATTTTATTATAATACAAGAAAACAGCATTTTTAATTTTTAGCAATAATAAAAACCTAAAGCGTAAAAATAACTATAAAATAATATTCAAAAGGGATTTAAATAACTTAAAGTTAAATATCATAACTTTTATTAATTTCACTCTGGTGACAGCCCGTGAAGATATCTGAGTCTTCTTTGTTTATTAATGCTCATGTCATTCGGTTCTTCTGGTAATTTATTTCAGGCTTTTTAAAGTTATTCTCATTTGTAAATTTATATATTGCATCCATGGGAAATGATTGTGCAAACTTAAAATTATTTTAGGGAACTATTGTATTGAATGCTCATTATGCCCTGCTCTTATCTTTTTGAAGTTAAACTGTCATCTTACCCTCATTTGATCCTTTTCGGAAATGAAAACATTTGCCTTTCCAGCAAAACTTAGATATTGAAACTGGCTATTGATTTCTAAAAGTGATGAATTTTAATATTCATATTTTTGGCTATAGTGAAACAATATACTTTATGCTTAAAAAGCCATTTTCCTCCTGACCAAACTCAATTGTTGATGAGATGGCGAATTCTAAATATGCTTTTAATCCTTTTTTTAATTTTCTAAAAAAAACTGATCGTGAATATTTACTCCATTCAGCAGTATCTTTTGAAACGTGAAATACAAGGCTGTCATCCAATCGCAATCAGAGATATAAGGCCTGTAATATTTTAGGTTCTCTATTCATTTTTTCTGATAAACCTGTAATTTTTTTGAAAAGTAGATTAGCATTATTACATTTGTTAGTAATTAGTTTCTGATAAATATTTTTGTTTTTGCATAATTTAAGTGAAAATGAAATATTTTAGCATCATCCAAATCACTTTTCATTTTTTTAAACTTTAGGAAAATTAAACTTTAAAATCTAAAAGCAGACAAATGTGTAGCTTTAAATTACTTCTTCAAAACTGCAAATTTCATAATTTAAATACTTAACGTTTTTGAGAAAGTATCTATAGAAGTTCTAAAAAATTATCAAGCATTATTTCTACTAATCTAAAAGAGCAACCCCCTTATTTTCAGTTTTAGTGGTGTCAGGAGAACAGTTTGTTATGTACAAAGTATTTCTTTTGAAAAATATCACAAATTATATTTTATTTTCTTTATATAATACATATCATTGCTTTACATGCAAAATAAGTCTCTTGTTTGTTTATTTTGCTGATATAGCTGTTTTTTGTTTTGTTTAAAAATAAATGAAATCTGATCACATTGAAAAGAATTTTTTTAATTGGGAAGTTAAGATTTTATGTGGATTAATGTACTTAAGATGAAAGCTTTTTTTTTGTGTGTGTGTAGAATGATTGGTAAGGTTGGTTGTGTTGCCCATGCGAAGTGTGAAGCATAATTTTAAAAAAATACAATTTTTCATCTTTGAATTTTATAAGTTTTAAATGTTTAACTTGTGTTAATTAAAAGTGTTGTTAAATTCCTTGTATTAACTAATAAAACATTGAAAAATTGTAGCAATTTATGTACTAAAAATAAAATGTTTCAAATAAAAAGAAATATCCTCTACAAAAAAAAATTTTAAATTTTATAAATAAGTTAGTTGAAATGCTTAAAATATATAGAATCATAAAACTCTTCTGAAGTAAAATTAGTAATTAAAAGTTTTTTGTTTGCAGACTGTTTTTAATATAGAAGTTTACTGCATGTCCAGAAGATTCTTGAAATCTTGTTATATCCATTTTATTTTAATTATGTTTACGCATTAAATTTTATTTCTCATAAAGTAAATAAAGAAGGCTATTCACATAACATCAATATTGACGCTAAGCCAAAATGAAGTAAAATTCTGTGTTTTACGAACTAACTTCAACTTTCTCCCTAAAGTTCTTACTAATTAAAGTTGCAGTTAAATGCGAAAATGTTTTTAACTGAAGTGTCCCTCCTTATTAAAATGTCTGGGCATGCCTATTGCCGTTTTATCATCAATACGCAAAATTACCGTAAATATTTACTCTTAAATATAGAAATAAAAAATACGAAATCAATTTTGATAAAATTAATGATGCACTTCCAATGAAAGCTATCAGAATAATTTATAATGTTAAAATTTTTTTTTTGTGTTAATATTTACCTAAAAAGAGCATTTGAAATAATACGACATTGGTGAAAAATACATCAAAAGGTAATAAATGTTTTCTTTTTCGAATATGTCCATATTATTGCTAAGACTAAACAAACAAACAAAAAACCAAGAGATAGGAATATGATAGGTGTTAATTCAAATCCAACCCACTAAGGGGACTTGCATTTCATAAAACGAATGAATAAATTTAAACTAGGAAATTATAATTTTTGTCTGCACTTTAAAAAAACAAAACAAAGAATGTAAATGCATCCTTTTAGCATTATAAAAGGCATACAGTGCAACGTGACGGCTCAATATGCACTTTTGATCATCAATGCTATCTGTATTTCCCTAACTTTTCAACCATAGATCACAACCGCCCAGCATAAGATTCTAGGGAGTGTCCTTCATTTAAAATATTTCACATTTTATTGCAGTAACATCAAATGAAATAATGGTTTATATCATTTTCTTGAAACCTTTGCTAAACCAAGTGATTTGAAATGATTTTCCAAGAGAATAAAGAAAATAAAACTAAATTTTGCTCGCTACATTGAAAAGAACGGCTCAGTGTGAATGCTGGAATGAAAGTGTGTCAAAATAACATGGTGCATTACGATATGTATTTGTTTTGAAAGTGAATGAGTCGGCCAAACACAGGGTCATACTAAATAGTGTACACTGTATTTATTGTTGCCTAAATCTTTAATATGTAGCTGATTTTGTTTATTAATATTATATTTTTTAGGATATTGGTTTATATTGAAATATTTTACTGAAATGAAATTGATAATTATAATATTAAGATCTATTTACTTCTTTTAAGAAATTTATTTAAATTAAATGCAATTTTATTTTTCAGTGCTGTAATTCCGTCTTTTGTTTTGATGGATATACAGTCTGCCACTGTTGTAACTTATGTTTATCAGCTTGTAGGAGATGATGTTAAAGTTGAAAGAATAGAATATAAAAAAGCCTAATTCACTTCACTTGCATTCCATCTAAGCTACTTCTTGTACATAGTTATTATATTCCATCGAAATTGAAACTAAGCATGTAAATTGATTTCTGATTATCATTTGTTAGTTTTGATATACTACGTTTTTTGTCTTGTTATATATTAATAAATGTTTACGATAAAATTGAATGTTTCTTAATATAGTATGTGTAAATTGTTAAAGTAAACGCAAATATTTTTTTGAAATCATTGGAAGAAAATTGTCTGATTATTTATTTTTAAATGAAAGACACAACATGTAGATATATTAAAAAGTGAAAACTCTCTCTGATTAGTGTGTTTTCTACATTCATAGAAACTTTTTTTTTTTAAAAATTTGTAACAGATATTGTGTCTAACGTAACCAAGGACAGTAAACTTTACGTTCTTGGCTTTCAGTGGTTTTAAATATTAACTTCAATGTATTAGCAGATTATATAATTATAGATTAAATGATTTACACTTAAATGTAATTACTAAAAGAACTTTCAACGAATACGTTTCTAGAAAAAGGAATTAAATGAAAAATAAATAACTAAATGATGGGAAAGATGATTTTCCTTTTTTAGCATGACAAAAATATAAGTGTAACAATAAAAAAACAACAACATAGTACTATTCCAATAATAGACTTATTATAATAATTTTCCAATATAAAATTTAACAATTTGTAACTATAAAATTTTCTTAATTCTTTTAATTTTAAATTTCAATCAACTTTAATTGATTTTGTTTCCATTGTTATCTATTTATATTGATTCTTTTGTATTGATTGACTCTATTATATCTTTAAATGTGGCTTACTTTTTAAAAAAATTAAAATTCTCTACATTGAGCTTTAAATTTACCAAAAATTAAAGAAGTTTTTCAAACTAAAAAAGGGTTATCATAGTAGTTAGTCCATGCTCAATTTGAATGTAGTTCACTGTCGGTGTAATTTTGTAAGACTTCTTTTTAGATGACACAGAAACATTCTTTTTTCACTCACTCCTTGATGTTGCAACCCATAAAAAATCTCGCCTCCCTATTTTTTCATCAAGGTTTCAGTTTTTTGAATAAGGAATACTTAATGTTAAGGATCTAATTAAGTATGATTATATTGTCGCAATGCCCTTTCTGCAATGCCCTTTCTTCCATATAATTTCTGCAGTTAGAGAGTCTAAAAATAAAAACTTTTTTTTAATAAAATAAAACTTATGTATTGTATGGCACAATATTTCTGATCAGGTTTAAGTTCTTATATACATATTAATTAATAGTTGTATTTCATAAGAGCTTCTTCATTTAATTATCTCTTTTAAAATTTCAATACATTTCTTTTTCGTATGTATGATTTTAATTTATGACTATATTTGAAATGGTTCCTAACATAAGTTTTTCTTCACTAATTCTGCTTCTAGATACGATGTACAGTCCGCAAAAAAAAAAAGATATCACCCTGAATAACTTTCGTTCTAATGATCCGATTTTCACGAACTAAGTGTCAATCTTAATGGTTCCTGGGGGTGACCTCAAATATGCTAATTAATTAGTGCTAACTATTAATTAAGTTACGAAATCAGACACAAAAACGTACTTTCTCTGAATAAACATATATTTTTTTTTACATATTTGGAATCTAGACACTTGAATTAGGGGGGGTAGACAAAATTTTAAAACAATTGGGTCGTAAATTGGGTTGCAATAAAGGTTTATATATTTGGCGATAGTCCAGAAAACCGCCAAAAAAAGTCGCCTGCGCAAATAAATATTTTAAGATAACCCTTGACTGATTCAAAAGAGAAACGCTTAATTTTACTAGGTTGCTAGGCAACCAATTTCTGACTGTAAAAAAATTGAAATAATGTTTTGTGATTGCTCTGAGAGGTTTAATTAATAGTTAATAGAAAACACCTCGAAGTTTCTAGGCAATAGACAATTTTTAAGTTCATTTATGTCCAAAAAGCAAAAAAAATAAATAAATAAATAAAATAAAAAATTATTTTAATCTCTTTTGAAAAGAAAATTTGAATCGATTTATAAGTTTTCAGAATTTAAATACATGAACTTTTTATCTGATATTATTTAGATTATGCTATTTTTGCTATGTTTATTCGAGGATTTCATACTAAAATCAAATTAACATAACTTATAATAGCTATATACAAAATTTTAGGGATAATGATTTTTACAGCTTTAATCGAGTCTTCTAGGCATGAAAGTTTGAAGGAAAAAAAAGTGCATGAAAAATAAAATGTAGATTGTATAGTAATTCTAATGCACATTCACAAGGTTTTCTGTAATTTACGATTTCTTTTTTCTATAACTCAATGAATTGCTGAATGTTTAGTGGCATTTTAAAAACATTGAAATATGTTATGTTTAAGAATAAGATATAGAAATAATATGTTGCATATTGTATGATTCATTGTTTAAAAAATTGCTTCATTTTGCTAGATATTTACGTTACATGGTTTTCTTTGGATAAAGATGATTAGCAAATAGCATCCACATGTTTCGATACATTCTGAAACTTACGTTCGCAAATTCACCATAAAATGTCGCACAGCATATTCTTCAATTACGATAAGCTACATTTACCACCAAATACTGCTACTATGATTATTTTTGTTTTATATATATCAGATATATATATATATATCTGATATGATACTCTCTTTTTAAACAGAGCTCGTAAGGCCCTTAAGATACTGAAATGGGGGCACGAAAACTTAAAAGATTTTTTTTTCCTAATGCCCGCCTGTGTTAACATCCGTCAATTCAGGCATCTACAGGGCGACAGATATCTGTGTGGCCTAAGGATTCCTAACGAGCATCAAACATTCTCAAAATTAAGTGTTCATTCACTGGAAAATTTAGTGTTTATTCAATTTAAGAACTGTTCCTTCACTTGGTTATCTTACTACTTATTATTTAAACCACCAAAAGCTTAAAACAATATTATGTAAGTTATCTAAATTTTTTTTACATAATTTGCATTTAATAACAAATATGTCGACATGCATTTAATAACAAATACGTCATTTAGCTAAAATTACAAATTTTGAAATTTTTATGATTTTTTTTTAAAGACAAGCTAAGCTTAAGTATTCCTTCACTGGTTAGTTTACCCTATAAGATTTTGAGAAATTTGCGATGTTGTGAGAGATGCTTAAAAATGTTGACTACGTATTTTTATTAATATTTATAAAATATATATTCAAGAAATTGATGAATATTTTATTCCAAATTTATTCATTCGTATGTATATTATTGAAATTTTATCAGTTATTGAGAAAAAAAAAATAAAAAAAAATCACATTAAAGAAGCACAATCTGTTGTATAATCATATTCTATCAGAAGCATGCTTTTATAAAACTCCACATTCTCTGAATAAAATGTATTTTATTCAATAAAATGTTTTATTCAAATTTCTTTACTAAATTGCAAATAGAATTTTAGACGACTAAAGAAGAAACATCGTATTTTATAGCTTAAAAAAATAAAAATGAAAAGATAAGCAAACGATTATTAGCGAAAAAAATATGAATGAAATTTTATGCTAAGCGCGCGAAGTCAAGTTCCTCGCAAGTTTATCACATTTTAATATTAATCGCTCCATTTAATCATTTCTTCATTGTCGCCAAATTATTTTTTTAAAAATAATTAATTTTAATTTTTCTCAGCTTCTAATAAATAAAAACAGTTGAAACTTTAGATTTTTCAATTGAAAAATATGTAGATTAATATGGTATAAAAAAATTCATACCTTATAATTCAAAAATTTTTCATCCTTAATTTAATTAAATAATAAAAAATAATTAACAATTATTAAAAATTATTTTTTTCGTGAAATTATCTTTGGGTAAATGAGTTTTATGACTGGGTGAAATTTTCTTCGAATTGCTTTATTAGTTTTTAAAATATGACTAAAAACGTAAAAAGTGAAATTAACATTAAGGGGTACGAACTTTGGATCGCTCTCCTGACCAAACTATGGGGACCATATTTCCCAGATTGCGGCTACCCCCTATATTTTGAAGGTTAAGAATCCAAATATGTAAGAAAAAATATATGTTTATTCAGAGAAAGTACGTTTTTGTGTCTGATTTCGTAACTTAATTAATAGTTAGCACTAATTAATTAGCATATTTGAGGTCACCCCCAGGAACCATTAAGATTAACACTTAGTTCGTGAAAATCCGATCATTAGAACGAAAGTTATTCAGGGTGATATCTTTTTTTTTTTGCGGACTGTACAATATAATTTAAAAGTAATAACTAATAAGTTTTGTTTTTCACATTTGAAATAAGCATTACGAAAATAGCATTCAAGCGTATTTCAGTTATTTACTCTTTCATGAGATGCATATGTACACACGTAGAAAGGATCAAGGATGTCATACAATAACATTTTATTTATAATTTATATGTCGAGTACAAAATAGATTTCTATTTACAATCAACTTGAATTCACCTCTTCTGCGATGCAGGCGTCAAACAGTATTTTTAGTGAATACATTGTACATATAAAGGTAATAGGAATGTATCAGTATAAGAGGCAATTTTAATTTAACACCTTGACATACAAATTTTAAAGTTTCATTTACTGCAAAAAAAAATGTTTCATTCTTTATATTTTAAGTCTTCATCGAAATAATTTTTTTGCTGAATACAATGTCTTCAATTATATAACGTTTATTTAAAAAAATTAGAAGCTTAGTGGCCAAAAAAGTGAAGTGTTTTCCAAAAAATCTTTTCATTATTATTACTGGCTTTAATGTATTATGAAAAACGCATTAGAAACATTTGTATGTCAAAGAGTTAATAAAAACAAACTACAAAAAATAATTATTTATTGCAGAAAGGTGGAGATAAATATATCCTGAAGCAAAAGTAACTCTTTTTTTGTGGAAAAGGGGGAATTCTGCAATCGATGTCTGCACATTCTCATTGAGCTATCAAAAATGCTTAAAATACAAAGATTATTAAGTTCAAGCTTTTGAGAAAATATTACACTTCAATTAGGTAATTTAACATATGATTCTAGAAACAGTTTGATTTTCTTTCTTTTGCTCCAAATTGGTTTGAGATTCATATAAAGAAATTGACTTGTTTAAAAAAAAATCTTTATAAGTTAGAATATCTTTAATCCCAGAATCTTGTTCATATTTTGGAATGATTATCAGTAATATTACTACTATACTATTATTATACTGTGAATGCGAATTTGTGGAGCCTTATCCTCCATTCCCCCCTGGCCCACAATGGGCTGTTACAGGAATGCTTTTTACTTTTGAATACATAATAATGTCTTATTTGATTAAAATATTCTGAATGTAGAATTCTTAACACTTAAATCCCCTTGTATTATGGCCACTTAAAATCATGTCCCAAAGCAAAATAGGTATCTCACGTATAAAACAAAATTTTTATTTTTACTTCGATCAAATTTTATTATGTATGCAGATGAATTCACAATTCCCTCCCTAGTTTAATATATATATGTAACAGATACAACAGAAATTCACCATGGATTAAAATAGAATTTTTCTTGTAAGATCGTTTTTTCTTGTAGGCATTTAAAATGTGAATTCTAGGTTTATGACTAACATTATGTAATTTAGGATAGTGTTTCTCAACTGACGATCAGAGGATTAATATCTGCATTAGTATTAAAATAAATTTTATATATTTAAATAGATATAGGCTCAAAATATTCAGACTGTAGAAAGCTAGATTGTACATTGTAGAGATGAAACAAACTGGGTCGTTTTAGTAAATTGGGTTGAGAAACACTGATAAAGAGCATGATTCATTTCATCCCTACTCACCATAAATTATAGCCTTCTGAATCAAAACATATTTTATGATTCAAAAAATCAAAATTGGGATGAAATAAAAAGAACTTAATTCATTTAAGCAATTTATAACTACAATAATATTAAATAAAGCATTTAGATGATAGTCCAGCTATTATTACAGTCTCTTATATAATACTCTACTTAATGTTATGCTACATTGAACTTAAAATTCATGACAGGTTCAGATTTAAAGCAAAAAAAAAAGTGGTTTTTTTTAAAACTCTGAAAGTAAATTAAAAATTTCTGTATAAAATAAAAATTATCCTGTCACGTAAATGTATTCATGAACGATAAGAAAAAAAAAATTTTATTACTATTATTCTTTCATAACAAGTTTGAGCATTGTTCAAATTGAGTGTGAGTTATATATATTTTAACCCGAAATATGATTTCATATAAAATTGCTATACATTATACTGCATAGAATCGGATATTTACAAAATTCTTAAAAAAAAAAAACTTTGTTCACATAATTATAGATAAATATGTGAGCAAAGTTTTCAATAAACAAATTTTCTTTCTGTCGTTCAAGTTATTTAATTACTATTAATGATTAAAATATGCTATTCAAAGAGCTTTTAAACTATTCATAATGCAAAATCCTTTTTTTAAAAATCCAGATTGATTTATACTTATAACCTTTATAAATATAAAATATAACATTTCCCTATTCATTAATTGGCACAGCACCAGATTCTTTAAAGAAAGGAAGAAAATTTCTTGATTCCCAATATTCCTATATTTAATAACAATTAAGTTTGAGCTCTGGTTAAATTGAATATAAGTTACATAATATACAATTCACAATATCGTTTAACGTGCAAGATATTTATTCTCTCAAATAGTATGAGCAATATTCACATAATTCCAGTAAAAACTGTTAGGGGAAATCAGATTAACTTTTTATTTCTTTGATCATTTTGTTAACCAATTATTTCTCAAGAAGCTTTTGAAAAAGTTTAAATTTTCTATAATTTTTTTTAAAACTGACTAATTTATACATAAAGTCTACAACAAAAAAAAAATAACTTAGCCATATTTATTCCTTGACCTATCACATACAAAAAAATAATAAATTTTAAATCAATATAATTAAAAAATAGACCAAATTAAACCTTTAAAAATTTTTTCATTGAGTTATAAAATTAAATTGGTAAAGAGGATTCAAAATACCATTTCATAGTGATGACATATTATAAAATTTATAAGTTTCTAAAGTATAATTTAAATAAATTATTAATAATTTTAAATTTTTTCCACGCTAGTTATTATTATTCTCATATTTAACTGTATTTAAAAAACATTTTGACATTCATTCCATAAAAATAAAACTTACAAAATCGAATGATATACTGACTATGCTTCACAAATTTTGATCAAATTTAATACTATAATTATCTTAATACTTACACTAATAGGACATAAATTGTCAGCTAATTGTACACTTTAAACTGCAATTTTGAAAGTACGTTACTGGTATAATGTTCACAAAATACGGGGAATCATCATGTGATTTAACAGTAAGAAATTTTGTTTTGAGCAATAGACCAAATAACTTTTTGTGATGATAATACTGTTTGATAAAATCACATTCCTATAAATGTTTGCTTTATTCACAAAACAAGATAATATTAACAGGATTAAAATTCAACAATAAACTTCAAAGCTTCACAATAATTGTTCTTAGAAAAATAGTATGGAAATTAAAATTGAGACCATGTCTTCAGTGCTATAGTTATTCATAAACAGTCTAATTACTTAAACTAAATTACTTTTTTCTCGAAATACTATAATGACAATAAAAATCTGTAATCAAACAGATGATGTTTGTTCGAAGATTATTGGCATACCATTTCACAATAACTAAAACATAATTCTAAATAAATGTTTTACAACCTAACATGATAAAATATGTTAAGTATTTCTTCATATAGTTTTAAACAAAAATATAATATATTAACACATAAATATTTTTTATATTATAAAAAACTTCATTCCTTTACAGCAAATATACATTGAAAAATATCAATTTTTTTTCTTCACAATAATCACAAAATAAAAATTCTTTATCACAAAATCAGCCTATTCTTTTACCAGGAATAAGTTCCTGATTAAGAATTATTGTCGAGTTTAGAAACTTCCAGATTATATTTATAAATTAAATCTAAGCAAAAGGAAGCGAAACAAAAAAAAAAATATGAGAAAATCTCTCGTCAAGTCAGTACACGGTACAAAGGCAAAGTTTCAGTTTGCCTCATACAGGTATACACAATTGTATAATTTTTAAATTTCAGTACACAAAAAGTACTTCGTCAAATAAACATATAACTAAGGACATACAAAAATCTAGTTTCATAATATAATCACATTGTATATATTTGCTTTATAAATAACAATACTGGCCTGATTTTATTCATGGACATTTGTAATTCTATTACATAAAGTTATTGTGTAAAAATCTTTATGTTTAAAATGTTCTTTTACATTATTTAAATCATATTTCAAAATTATGTATGGTTTTAGTTCATTTATTAAAAATAGTTAAAACAAATCTGATTAAAAGTAGAAATCTTATATTTTTGTTATTAAATTAATTTATTTTTTAAAATTACATTAAAAAAAAAAGACTATATAGTAGAGAATCATTTAATGACAAATCTATAAAAATTTTAAAATAATTGACTAAAATGTTAAAACATAACACATAATGAAATTAATAAAATTTAAATCTCATCCTAAGAACGTTTAAGAAATGTAAAAGAACAATGGATAGGTGTTGAGTTTTTTAAAGAAGGCCCTTTAAAAGCAGAAAACAGTAGCACTGTCCTGCAAATCAATAGAAAAAATACATAAGTCAATCACTCTGTTAAAACAGAGCTCGTCAAATAGGTAAAATAACAAATCTTTGAAGTGGAATGGTGGTTAAAAATGACTTTGTACTTCCTTCGGGAAACAAATCTATTCTTTATGTATCAAAGATATTCAATCTGAAAAAGCAAATTAAAAAGAATTACTAATCCATACAATATTAGAAAAGTGGAATCAATCATTCATTGCTTAAAAATTTACAATTGAAGAAAAAAAAAAACATCTTTACAGCATCCCCCAACGATAAAGACAATTTTTTAATCTTACTGATGAATAATTTTTTTTAGAATTATACATCAACAAGACGGATTTTTTTTAAATATTTTATACAGAGGTTGTTCTGTAATCATTGCCCTTAATGTATATTTTTAGTATCGTTTCAAAAATTAAGACAAAAAGCATACACAGCTAGGATTTCAAATTAAAATTCTAGTATGGAGAAAGCAAAAATGCTACAAAAATATATTTAATCACCTAAATAGGGAAAATAGAATGACAATCATCAAAACCAATTTTAATTGCCTGATGTAGCTTGGATGAATTTCAAAAAATCACCGTTTAACTCTTCTATTTCTTGATGCTTTGACATTTTCAGTTCTACTTACCTAAGTAACGATTCATAAGATATTGATAGCCTTTTTATTTTTGTCCCACTTAAATATTAATTTGCTACCCCTAATGTGTATGCAATGTCTTCAAATGGGATTTATACCGAGCACCCGGAATACTTTGATTTATTATGAATTATCCATTTTAATTTCTAATGTGTTAGTCATTAAGTTATAAAAAATTAATCACTTTTTGAATTTACAGTGTAAAAATAAACTTAACACAAGAGGACTCATATTTATGTTCATTAAAACTGTAACAAGCCTTTATTGTACATAATTATGAAACACCAGATATATTTGAGCAAATTAACCAATAATATATTTTCACCTAGCCCAAACTGCTCAAATTAATTAAGCATGTAAGCTTGAAAATGCTAACTGAAAAGATACTAGAAGATTGTGGAATACATAGTGAATCAAATTTTAGATGTTGATAAAAATAATAATAAAAACTTGGATGTAAAATGTTTAGAATTTAATTTTTACTGATACTCACAGCTTCAGCAAATGAGAAGAAAAAAATCAACCAACATCCTCCCACTATTTAAATAAAAATTTATAGTAAAAATGGTCATATTTGCTTTGATGTTTTTATGTCCCATCATAAAACTGAAATTAATAATAAAAAGAACAGATTCTCGAATAATATTTTTTTTAAAAATGTAAGTAGCATTACAATCACAATTTTATCACCAAGTTCACAGTTTGGAGAAATGTGCTACTAAGATTTCTCTCTCAAGAGGAAGTTGGGGTATATATATATGCAATAATAATAAATTGAACTTATACAGTTATATTTTATTTACAATTGATAAATATAAAAAATTATGCTTACTTAAGGTTTTATATGAAAGATGAACTAATGCCTCTTCATATGCAGAGATAAATGATCGGATCTGGAAAAACTTCGAGTGCACAGTTTGCATTTAAACGGTCTCTGACCTGTATGTTTCCTGTAGTGTCGAGTAAGTTCGTCAGATCGGGCAAATTTCCAAGGACAGCCATCCCAAGTACAGGAATATGGCTTTTCACCTGCAGAAGAAAAAATATTTTTAAAAAAAATGTAGATTATAAATGCCAAACTACAGAGAAGTTAAAATCCCTGAAAAATACATACATTCTGTAGTTTTAGTAAAAAATAAGTGTATAAAAAATGCATGACCATTTTTATCTGGTAAATAAGAAACAAGTTTCAAGTTAAAACGCCTATTAAAAATGTCAAAAAATCAACTGTTTAATTTTTAAATAATTGAACAGTACAGATATTTGAAGCTGAACTTAAACTTGAATAAATATAAAAAATATAGCACATATTACAAATGCAATTAACAGAATTGATTATTTTTATTTAGTTTGATGTTACCATTAACAGTATAATCTATGTGATTTGAATGGTTTGGTTTTACCAAATCTAATATTTAAATGAGAATTGTAAGCAAACAATTGTTTGCTATTAGATCACAGACCCTCACTATTACTTCTCAATCATTTTGGTTTCTTGAAGCAAATAATTGCATTAAAAGTATTTTGCATTATTCTATTTTTAATAGTATATGCCATATTTCTTTAATAATATATTTATTTAAATCAAAGTTCAGAGATTTAAATTATAGTATGGATTAATTAATGGTAAAGCATTAACACTTATTTTATAATTAGTCCTCTAATTATAGCATAATTATTGCCTAAGGTATTTTTTGACTAAAAGCTTTATATTACGTTATTATAAATGATATCTGTACCTAAACATGTAAGACATGAAAAGTATACTTTCTGATGTAATCTTTTTATGTTGAATTGAATAAAAAAAAAATTTGATCTGATAGAATTAATAGTTTTGAATATATAAGTTTTTTTTCTTCACAAGTACAGCTTCAAAATTGTACTTTTTGTACATAAAAAAAAATTATCTCAACTTTTAAAATGTCAGTCCTTTTGATTTGCACTTGGCCTCATTCGATTAAGCTTGAAAAAATATGAGAAACACTCTCATTCCATTTAGCATGGGAAAAAAAAATACATCGGAAACAATGCCTCATTTACCTGTCTAGAAGAAATTCAATTTTCTTCCTCAAATCACTTCTATTACCCTCAAAAAAGGGAGAAGCGTACAGGAGCATAGGAGAGCTTTCAGGTATTATTTATAATAACATAACAAAGTTTTTTTTTTTGTTAAAAGTAACTAAGGCAACAAAGTTTTGTTTTGTTGCCTTGGGTCTTAATTTTCCCCCAGAAACACTTGGGTCTTAATTTTCCCCCAGAAACACCCTTTCTTTTGCTATAAATGCTGGACAAACTATAAAATAAGAGTAAATACTTTACCATTAATTAATCCATAAAATTTTATTCAAATAAATATATTATTAATGAAATACACAATACCTTTAACGAAACAATCTGCTTATCATCAAGAAAAAGAAATGTTTGAGAAGAAATAATGAGGGTCGATGAGAGAAGCGAGGATGTAGCATAGATTGCCTCAAGGCATATATACAACGATTACATAAATACATCGATTTAAATAAAAATTGCCAGCACAAAATATCAAATTTAGTCATTTCTTTTAATAGATATTATTCAAAATTGTCAAAAAACATCTAAAAATGGTGCAGCACAAATTTTCCGAGGCAGGTATTTTTAATGTCCATCATTATTGTAAAGGCTAAATCTGAGATAGCCTTCCATCCAAAATTAAAACTTCGTATGTGTTGTATATGTGTACCAAGTATTATGCTTCTATCATTAAAGGTATGATTGTTCCATCTATCTGCAGTACTATGATGCTTACAGACGAACTCTCTTTGATAAGTATTTATCCTTTTGTTAAAAATTTCTAAAACTAGCTGTACATTTTATTAAGTATTAAATTATGTCATTTTACACTTTATAAATCAGCACATTTAACAAAAATATCACCAGCCAATAAATTTACCGTTTTAAAACTTGTTATTTTCCCTTTTAAAAGCATTACTTCCATTTCTTATTATTACCCATTCTTTTCCACATTTCCTTTTTTCTAATTTTATGCCTGATTATATTTGAATTACTCACAACAAACATCAAACAAAATGTAAAAACATGAAGTTGAAGAAAGGGACAAACCTGTGTGAGTGCGTTTGTGAGCCTTAAGATGTGAACTCTTTGTGTAGACTTTTTCACACCCTTTGAAATCGCATTTATGCGTTTTTCTTCGTCGTAAGTTTTCTGAATAAATGTCCATTCCTTCTTTCACCATGTTACTAGGCAGACCTATGCTCTCTGTTAAAACCTTGCCATTGCTCATTATTGAATTCGTGAAAAACCTTCCTTCATTCTGATCGATTAAACCTCTCTTTAATAAGTTATTCAAAAAACTGGGCTGTTCTTTCATTTGAAACATGGCACTGTAAAAATAAAACATTGTAATTACTATAAAATGCTAATTAAACAGAAAAAAGAATGCAATTATATTTCATACTTTTATTTTCCACTCAACTAAACATTTCATAAAAAATTAAGCTATCTCTTAATTTTTTTTTATTTTTCTATAACTAATTAATGTTTTTGTATTTTTTTCCTTTCTATCATTGGAATACGTTCTTATAAAGCTAGTAAATTTTCTATTAAGTTTTTGAATTTAATATTAGCTATTAACTCCTTTAAAACTATTATAATAAATTTGAAAAGCTTTTAAAATGCTTAACAACATTAAATTTGTTGTTGTAGTTATTTTTAATGCCATTTGCCAATACTAGCAAGCCGGCTTGGTGAAACCAAGAGAAGGGCAGAGGTTGCCCTTCTTGTTTTTGAATATGTTTCTGAAAAATGAGAATCTTTCTGTTCTTTCTTTACATTAAAATAATACATTTTAATACAATTAAGACACACCAAGAAATTTTTATGTAAAAAAATTATTTTACAGAAGTTAAAATGTAACATATTTCTAAAATGTGCTGATAGAATTTATATAAGATTTAAAACTAGGTAAAAAAATAAGTATATAACATGATTTAAAAATGCAGTTTTGATGTAGTTAACTAGTAACAAAAAATATTTTTATATTTCATTTATTTAATTATTTGTATTTATCAATTTTTAATGAAAGATATTTATAGATATTTTTGTGAACATAAAGTTATGGTTTAATATTATCAACAAATATTATTCATCAAATATTTTGAAATACTAACTATTTCATAATGCAAAATATTAAATAAAAACTAAGGTAAAAATGGATCTAAAAATTTTTTTAAACCAATAAATGATCAAAGTAAAAACAAAATGACTTACATAGATGCTTCTTTTATCCTCTGAAGTGATAAAAGTGAAGATTCAGAAGTAGAAACAGGATCTATTATTTCTTCATCTGAATTAAAATCTATATACAAAAATAAATATGCTTAAAACCATATAATTTTAGAAAACCATATTTCAAATAGAATATTAAACAGAAAAAGAATTACTTGATTAAAAATTATACAAGTTAGAAATAACAGTCAATATTAATAATCAAACAACAGTCAACAGAAATAATTTTGAAGAGTAACAAGTTACTCTTCAAAATTATACAAGTTAGAAATAACAGTCGTCATGTTTCAAGAGCTCAAAAACGGGTGCCCATTTTTAAGATTTGCCAGATGTAAGTGAAAAGAAATCGTCTCGGGGGTGAGAAATATCAAACATAAAGTTGCCAACAAAAAATGGAAAAATAAAGATGAGAAACATAACAAGAAAACAACAGTAGTTGAGAGAGAAAAAAGATGAAAAACAACAATAAAAACCACAGCAGTAGAGAAAGGCAAATCAAGGTATAATGCGTTTTCACACACTATGGAGAGATGGTGAGTAACTAATGCTAGTTAACAAGGAAATCAGCATTCGTATGACTAAAACAAGATTCTGAGGCATCAAGATGAGCTGATGCAAAATAATTTTGGCATTGCTGAAATTGAATTTTTGACAAAGATTTTTCAACAATGTGCAGCAAATAATGATTTCTCGTAACAGACATATCTATCTTGTTCCTTAAGTCTAAATATTAAAGCGCTTCTAGTTTGCCTGATGCAGCCAAGATCACACTGACGAGGAATGTGGTAAATGTTCCAGCCATTATCGAAACTAATAGGATCTTTCGGAGATTTAAATTTACTTTTAACAGACCCAGAAATGAATTTAAAACTAAAACAGGAGAGGATATTAGACAAAATAAGGCTAAGATATAATCAAGCAATCAGCTCACACGATTATAACCCGCAAAAGAGTGCTTTCTAATATTGTATTATTAAAGATCTTTCCTTGTAAAAAGCAAAAATTTCTGCATTAAAAATAATGCCGAATTTACATGGATACTGAGATGATTCTAAAAATATGAACGAAACTTGAATAAATATAAATAGAGAAAATGTACCTTTGTTGAGCCGTAAATCTATACATGATGAGCTATCACCCGTGGAGGATGGAGAGGATGGGACTGTGGGTGATGCAGGTAAACTGGCTGGCAAGGATGCTGGTGACAAAGAACATCTACTCTTGTTCACTGTCAAGTCTACTGGCTCCAATTGTGCTGTTGTAGAAAGTTCAGTCTGAAAACAAAAGGACATTTACCATTTATTTATTCTGCTGATGCATTTAAATAATAACTGAACACATGAAAAGTAATTGGAGCTAATATTTCCCAGTCTATTTGAATTGCACATTTATAAATTGAGAAAAATACCCTTGCAATCCATGATGTAATGCATAAATATTATAAAAGAACGACAAAGAATATGTTGATCAAAATTAGTTCGTCTCCAGAAAAGTGGTATGCATTTGGTAATCATTCAAATTTTCAGCCACTTTCCATAAGCATATATTTCATTATGATATGGCCACAAACCTTTCTATAGACTTTTCTATTCCCGCATAATTTTCCGTAATCATAATTTTTTTCTTTTTATATTTTTACAAATATCATTCAGCTTTAATAAGCACAACTTTCAATTGTCGATAAAATTGTTAATCAAAATGAGTAAAATAAATAAGTTTGAATTTTTTTTACAATAGGGAAAAAAACAATATTTGCTACTAAATAGCGTTTCAGTAAATAAATGATCAGTACTAAGAAAACAATGGGAATTACTTTTTTATATTTAAGAAAGAAAAAAATTTAAAAAATCTTTAAAATTTTTTTGGTGAATGTTAAAAAGTGGGAGGTAGGAGCCTCCTTGGGTCCCTATAAGGGATTTGGTAATTGTTTAAGCACCTTTAATAATTATCCAATAGGTAACAATCCTTCAATATTTCGTCACAAGTGATTCTAAAAATCAAAAACCTTTTTTTTTTAAGTGTCTAGTAGCTTTAAATAATATAAAATTTATATTACATTAATTAAGACTGCACATATGTATTGGATAGCGCATAAATTGTTCCTTTGTTTATTATTAATTTGAATTTTCCTAAAAAAAAATCAAACAATTGATTGAGAAACGATTAGTATTAAAAAAATATGGGTATAACAATCTGTAGCAATGCTTTTCTTTAGTCGTCAAACAATTTATCCGTACTATTTTCTGTAATAATGATAAAATGAAATATAAAACTTCGAATTGATGCATTTTCCAAAAATTAAAATAATCTTCAGCAAGTTCAATTTTATAAAACTGAAACAATAAAAAATTTTAAGAAAAAAGATCACTTTTAAATTTAAGTTCGTTCAAGACAGATAAAAAAAGTTTGTATTTAAATGAAAAGATAAAAGCAATCTCCAAATTTTAAAAGTGTGACAGAAAAATAAAAGGGCCAATTAAATAGTTTTCGTAGTTAGAATTAAAGTTAATACATAGAAATTACAAAATTAGTTTTAAAATAAATAGACTCAAATTTCGAATTATTCTTTCATATCCAATTTCTTTATTATCAATGCCATTAAATTTTTCCTTCGATTTGAGCCTCCTCAATATTTTTAACAAATCTATATCAGCATAAAAAAAAAATAATTTATTTCTTGCTTTAAGTAAATGAAGGCAAAGAAAACATGTTTTAAGAATATTAATAGTATTCTTCATAAACTGCAAACATGCATAAAAAAAATAACGAAAGAAAGAAAAAACATACTTTTTCAGGGTTCATAATGCAAGTAGGTGGCAACCTAAGAACAGGCACATATGTGGGAAAAGAAGGAGATAGCCTTCCGAAGTCATAAGGAACCATAAACCTATCACACTAAGAAGAAAAAAGAAAAAGCAATATTAAAGAACAATAAAACCTTCCACATCTTTTTTAAGAAAAACCTAAATGATAAAGAATATAGTTTTAGTATATGAGAGCATGCATGTTTATTACAACATCAAATATGCTCATCAAATATGCTAACTCAAATAGATAAATGTTAAATTGTGAAACATGAAAAACAATTCATTTGTTGTAAGATTTTATTCAAAAAAGCTTAGTAAATACTGCTATGAGTATTTTTAATTCCTAGAAAGTCTTAATGCTAATTAATTCTTTATTTTTCTCTTTAAAGGATTATATCAACTTGATGCGAGATGCACAACAGTAACAGTATTGAAATAAATTCATCATCATATTAAAATATCTTCAATCATAACTTCAAATTTTTTAGAGTTACTTCAATCGAACCAATGCGCGAAAAGTAGTTTTGAAATAAATAAAAAAACGTTTACTTTAATAATGCTTTCACCAATGCAATAAATAAATGAAAATCACAAAAAGGCTACATCGTTACAAATTGATAAATTCTCAATATGGCATAAATAAATATTAACCATTTCGAATTGACGAATAATGCATTTGTTTTTTAATTTATCAAAATAAAGAAATTAAAAATCATTCTTTTTATAAAACTAGGTTTAAAAGGTAAGTTAAGGGTACGCTATAAGGTGGGAGACACCTTTCATGGTAAATTTTCTTTTAACTATACCTATCCCCCTCCCAAAAAAAATTTAAAATTGCAATCAAATTATGGCAGGATTAACTGCAACTAAAGAGAGGGGAAATAAACCAGTCTTAATTTGTTGTTTGAAGGAGAAAAAAATTCTGCACTTGAAATTTCATAGGTGGCATATTTTAATTAATATTTTTAAAAGAGAATTTGCCATGAAGTTGTCTCAAGCAGTATAGAGACCTCAAAATACAAGATAATTAAATTCGTACTTATTATTTTACAGAAACATGAAATACACACAAAGCATCAACTTGTCTTGTTACAAAATTTATTTACAGGGTTGCGTATATGCTTGGTCATGAAGAAAATCAAAATTGTAATTCAAAAGAATAAGTACAAATAAAAATAGGAATTGTCAGAAGAAAAACATGACTACATAGCATTGTATAAAATCTTTTGGCATAAGTAACAAGCAGGGTCTGACTAACTTACAAAAGTTGCAAAGCCATGACAGTGAGATTTCGGGACCCTTTAACAGTAACATTTTCCATTTAAATGAATCTGCTCTGATACAGATGGTCTGTTCAATGCCGGTGATAAAATAAAACATAAATTTGCAATCCTCAAATCCCTCTTTATTGTTTTAAAGTATATTATAAAGCCAGACGTGGTTAATTACAACTATCCAAGCCTAATAAAACTATTTAGTTGAACTTGGTATTTCCTTCAGAGTGGTCCAAACCGTATGCTCTGGGTGCCTTTAGGCATAAAGCAGAGTCTGATAACATGAGTGTTTGTGGTCATTCCATATTTTAAATACCACCTTGCAGTATCTATTCGACATTAAAAACAAATTATAAGACTTATATAATGTTTTCTTTGGAAGGAGGAGGCACCTTTCCAGACCGATGCTACCATTATTGTCCGGAAAGAAATTTCTTATCGTCAAATCGACTGTGTCGACCAGAAAGCGACCGTGAGCGCGCAGAGGAGCAAAGAGTGTCGACTCGTTGTAGCGGAAAGCACGCACCAAGGCTGAGTAGGCGCCACGCCCGAGAAGCGCGGTATAAAGGCCCTTATTTCGGGCTAATTAGAAGGAGTTAGAACAAACGATGGGAATCAAAGCGTGTCTTCCTGCCTGCCTGGAGTATTGACACCGAAGCACCTATTCGGTCGAACAGCACTTCCGTCCTCTCAACAACAAAAAGTTCGAAATCGAAGATGAGAAACTGTTGCAGACGATCAGTTTCATGTCTTAAAACTTCAGATGTGAGTACGATATATGGCAGATATATTTATTAATATATCAATCAACCTTATCTCAATCTTAGATCAAGGAAAGCAAAAACACATTAAAAAAATATTGCCTATTGAGAATGAGAAATAGTAAAAAATGTTTCTTTATTTTTAATGTATTATTACGAGAAATATTATAAAAGAATTTACTATTTTAGACAAAGAAATTCAGCTACACCAGTAGACTTGATGACGTTTTGTTCCCAATCTATAAGTGACACATAACTAGATGTTTGATTGGTTCCCATTTTTAAAAATATCCCTGTAATGGCTTTGATGTCCCTATTACAATGATTACTTGAATCCAAAATCCAAATACATGTGCAAAAAGTCTTAGTAGAAGGAGCCCCAGTCCCAGTACTACATAAATTTAGACATATCGTATAAAATGAAGAAGTTTCCAATTTTGAAAAATAGCGAAACAGAAATGTACAACGAACATACAAAATATGCGTATCACAATTTTCTGCCACAATTAATAATTTTCTTACCAAATAATAGCAATCTATGAATCTAATAAAACAAACGAGACTTTATAAAACTTTTTATTTATTTATAAACTGATTCACCCATTCACAAGCTTACCAATTAATTATAATTTATTATAATTCGCCATTATAATTCGCTAATTCACATATTTACTTCCTTTTCTGATTTTGTTTTGCCTTTATTCACTCGCTTTACCAAGATCGTTCAGCGTTCCATAATAACGCGATCAAGTAATAAAAATATTCTTTTAAAATTAAAAGTAAACAATCTTTAAAATAATCAAGAGCGGAATAAACAAATCACCAATGACTGAGTGGAAAACATAAAAGATAAAGGATCTAGTTTATAATATACTTACAAGAAAAAGAAGAAGAAAAAAAACGATTATCATAGTAATGAAAAATTTGATAGACTCATGCTATAAAATAACATAGGCTTAAGTCAAGATTTTCTCTAAGACTAATATTGGTTGATAAACTTATAAATATGCTTGTAAATTAATAATATGTTGCAAAATACCATTAGTAAAAAAAAAAAATTTTAAAAACACTTAGATCAAAAGTAACTAAATCAGAAAATCGGTAAATTAATTTGGATTTCTAGCAGATAAATACATTTTTATATTTTTTCAATAGTACTGCCCGTTTATTGCATTATTAACTAGCTCCTAAAAAAGGTGCCCGTAAATTTTGAGCTTCTTTTTAAATTTACATGTGTATATATATTTATTGAATAGCACTTGCAATAAAAAATAACCTCAGAGCATTTTATCAGGATTAACCCTCCATTTAATCTTGACTGCTCTTTTTAAGGTTAAAATAAGTTTTTTTTTTAATGCAATGAGGAAATACGATTAAATTATTTTAATTCTTAATGTTTGGAAGGGTAAATAATTGGTTACTAAAAGCACCTCTGTACAAAATGGGACGATTTTGTTTTTGTTTTTTTAATTAATTTACGAGGCTTTATTTATTGTTTTGCTACTTGAAACAAAATTGCAAAACATCAATTTTATGTCGTGAAGGCACCCGAAGTAAATTCGTAGAAGAAGTAACAAGAAAGAAATTCAAAATGTTAAAGCAATATTCCTACATTTTATAAACATGTTTTATTTTGATTGAATCATATCGTGAACTTAAGAGAAATATGAAGTACGAAACTAAATTATCAGAAGACATAGAATATTTCGATTCAAATCAGCGAAACTTTTTCAAATAATCAGTTTAGTTTATAAAAGATTGATAATAACTTACAACAGGTTAACTTTTTAGAAGCATTAAATTAATTATTCAAAATTTCAGTATTTTGTTATTTTGATTGAATTTTAAAACTAAATAAAACAGTAAATTCAATGAAAATAAATATAGATAACAAGACAATTAATTTTTAAAATACGAGGCAAAGTAAAATTAGATTAAAATAAACTAACAATAATGATTTTAATCATTTTTTAATCATATCTTTGTCAAATAGTGTAATTAGAATGAAATATAAAATTGTAAGTAGTTTTCAGGATCAGGTTAAATTATGATTAGTTAGAACATCACATGTTGTCATTTTTTTTAAACTAGAAAAAGATATCAGTTGGAAAACTTTGAAAGACAAATCACTATATGTACTTTTAAAACACTAACTGTTTCGACGTTCTTTCTGCATTAACATTGTACAGTGATTGCTCTTATCATTGGTAGCAAAGTTCGTTCGGGGCGATGCTGTTTCCTCTACTGTGAATGCAACTTTTATATCCACTCTTTTGCGAAAAGTATAAAACAGCTTTTAATTATTCTAAAATGATGCATTGCCCGAAAACGTGTTTTAATAAATCGTATGCAAAAGAAAAAAAATTGATAATTGAAAAACGATTTAGAAAATGTGTTTTTAATTTAATAATTTAAGATCGTATGGGGGTTTTTTTAATAAAAAAATTTAAATTTTAATATTTTCTTTAGAAACGAAAAAAGTTTTTTTTTTAAATTATACACAAGCCGAGAACTATTAATATAAAATGATTCATACACTAAAAATGAAAAATCTTTTCATATCTTACATTACTTTTGAAAGATATGAAATAGGTACAACTCATGAAGTATAATAGTGCAACTTAAAATTTTCCAAACGATTTAACGAAAATTACATTTTTATTTTTACTACCAAACTTTTATTTGTTAGAATAAACTGTAATTCATCAAGATTTTGTTTGAAGAACTTTTTAGTAATGAAATTAACTGATGAATGTAACTTGTGAAAATTCGAAATTAACAACATAACTAACATAAATCACAGTGAGAGAAATATATTCCAAAAAAACATTCCATTACATTACACGAAAATAAATAAATAAAATAAAAACCCTATTTTTAATTTAAAAAATTTCATTACCTTATAGGTTTGTTTTACAGCTAATTTAAACAATTTAGTTGAACATTTAAAATAGCAGTTCATAATAAAGTCAGAAGATCGTAGATTTAGCACATAATTATTATAGGTTGGTTGCGCATGCGGTCCAAATCCGAACAGAATTTATCTGACCTAAGGACAAAATTTATATCGGGCTCCTATTTCGAAACACGACAAAAAATCTTACTTTTAAATTTTGTAAGATATTTGGAAAAGCATTTTTTTTTTTTTTTCTTATTGTAGTTAGTAATTTCTATTTTCATAAACAAGTTAAAATATTAACTTGTCTTAAACTTAACATCTTTTACTGATTTACATTTCACATAAAGGATGAAAATTTTTCAATAAAGAAATATTAACACTTTTCGTGAGAAATTTCAACCAGGCTCTAGGACAATGTTCCTTTTCTCCCCTTAAGTAAAGCTTTATGCTTCAAATAACAGTTTTGATTAAATTATGCGCTACACACAAAGAGTAACGCCTTTAAACATTGAAAACAGCTTAAAACATTGCAAAATATATCAATGTAAAAACTACAATTTTAAACGACTTAAAGTCCGATTTTAAGGGTAATTAACAACTTACAACACTATCTTTGATTAGCAAATAATAAAAAAAATCTTTAAGTTACAGCTGAAAATTAGGAAATTTCATTTTCTCAGGCGTGTCCAACAGCCAAGGCCACACCTTTTAATTGAAAAAAAAAAGTTTTCTTTCTAAGAAAACAGAAGAAAAAAAAGAGAGAAAACCATTGAAGCATAGAATAACTTCACTTAAACAAGAAAAGTACGGAAAAAAAAACCTGCAAAAGAAAAATCAATAGTGTCTCATATGCAAATGAAATTCCACGGGCCATTGCTCTGACTTCAATTATTTATTTTATTTAAGTCTACCAATCCCTTCTCTCTACATGGCACTAAGCCACCTGAAGCAAATCGATTCACGAAATTCAAAACTTTCTTCTTTTTTTTTATTGGAAAAAAAGCGACACTTTCTTAAAATATTGATTAATAAGTGTAGAGAGTAACATGATATGCTAATTTCATAGTTTTTTAAGACACACATAGTTTTTTATAGTGCACTTCCATTTCCGACTTTTCTGGAAAAATTTCAGCTTCCGAAATTATGTACGAGTTAGCACCATAAAATTATTTATAACTCCTAAATGTTTTGGTAAATCAAATTTATCATTAAAAAATAATAACTATAAGTGAAGATACAAAAAATGATTACAAAAAAATGCCACTAAATAAAGAATGGTCTTTTAAAAAATTTTGTTATTTTTCTATATTCCTTCCTTATCTTTCGAATTTTTTTAAGTGATTTCCAGTAATTACATATCACAACGTTTTTATTAACTAGCTTTCGCATTCGCAAAGAGGGAACATAGTAATCGGAATTTCGACCGATATGCTAGAGCACTCACATGAACTTCGCACCTGATAAAATGAAAGTTTCAATGATATTCTGACTTCGACAAGCGGAATTTATCTGTTATCAAATTATCGCCAATCAACATTTTGACTACTTTCAGACTAGTTAGAATGCTCAAATTGTGTGCTGAATGAAAATACTGACAGATTCAATAAATTATTTCCTGACCGCTATAATTGGAATTTATCTTCAAATAGAATTCCAGGCCAGAGTACCCAAATTTCAAATGGGAATGTACATCTTATAATAATAAAAGATGCGAATATTCCCTGAATGTTGCAAGCAAAATGAATACCTTTTTTTTTAATTGCCAAACAAAAAAATTTTTTTACCTCTTTTAGACGTAATAATTGATTAATAAAATTAATATTTTAGAAGCGACGTTTTTCAGGTCTAAAAAAGAGAAAAAAATTCG